AAAACTATGCAGAAACATTTAAAATTTTGAGAAAAAAAAAGGCCATTTAAAAAACATCAAATAGTTTTGATTGATGTTCTGTGCGCAAGCTTATGGGTACCACCAAAACAAAAGTTTGAAATTTTATTAAATACCCACAGAAATAAATTTAGTTTCTTTGATTTTTTATCTTCTTATATTAATGTTAATACTTAGTTCCCAATAAAAGTAAATGAGTACCTTTTTTTAGTTGTTTTTCTACTTTCACACTTATTTCGTGTACACGCTTTAAGTTAGTCATTTATTTAAAATCGTTAAAATAGCGCTTCGCTTAATAAAACTTCGCGCGTTTACTTTCTAAAAGCTCTACAATAATTTTTATAAAATTTAATAACTGCTTAATATTTGATTTTTTATATTAATAATCTTAATATTTTATTTTTATCATAATTATTCAAAAGCTTTAAAACAATTGATCTTGGTGTTTTATTATCTTTAACTGCACCGACTCGGTGCACTCGTCCACAACTACTTCACTTAATATATTTATTTTTGTTTTAAAGGTGTCTTTTACTGCATGTAAAACACAATCGCCCCAGTTTTCTTCAGAGGTTTCTTTTTCTTCTTGGAAATTGACTTTTATTTCGTTAACTTCATTTTCAATTCTTCGGATATTTAACTTGTTGTTGTTTATTTCAGCGTCTATTTTGTCTAACCTTGCTGTTATTATTTTGAAGTTCGAACTTATTATTGTAGTAAATTTTTTTTAATGATATATATATATATATATATATATATATATATATATATATATATATATATATATATATATATATATATATATATATATAAATTATGTATACAGGGTGGCCAGCCACTTTCAACAATTAAATTCCCTGACTTTTTATATTTTTCCCTGACTCAGTTATATTTTAAAGTGTGAATTTTTAAGTTTTGTTATTTGGGAGTAAGTAAAAAGAAACCTTTAAAAAAAAAATTTCAAAAAGACATTTTTCCCTGATTTCCCTGACTAGAAAAAAGTTTCCCTGACTTTTCCATGATTTCTAGTTGGCTGGCCACCATGGTATATTATTATTATAATAGCATGCTAGTGTATATTAGTATGCACCTTTTGATTCTTAATTGCTCTCTGCAAAATGCCTGAGGCTTGTAACATTTAATAATTTTGTTCTTGTGTGTGTGTGTGTGTATATTTATATATATATATATATATATATATATATATATATATATATATATATATATATATATATATATATATATATACATAAATTAACTATCGAAAAATACTTTCAAGACATCTTTGTAAATGCCATTAGACATTTTCACAACACCAGAACATTTGTATAAGATATTGCAACTACAAAAGAATATGTTAAAGTAAAAAAATATAAATAAAATAATAGTTAACTCTATCATCTTGAACAAAATAATCATTGAATAACTTGTATAAGCATTGAATAACAAAATAAACATTGAATAAAAAGGTATTATGTGATAGGAAAAAGTAAAAAAGTATGTACACTTAGAAAAAAAATTGTTCACCTTTCATTTTGGTTTCACTTTTATTTTGCTTATTTGTTTTCACAAGAAATATTTTTAATATTTATTAATTATACAAATAATATTTATCAGTATAAAACTGATAGATGTTAGCTGAATCATTATTATTTTACTTTAGAGTCAATAGTTTTAAAAAAATTTGAAAGAAACATCTGTTTTCATTTATACCATATTTACATATAAACAATCAACATGTATGTGGTGCTGTTATTTAGTCTAAAACACTAAATACTTTAATGTAAAACTGAAAATAACTAGTTATCACCAAACATCTAGTGTTTTTAAAGTTAGAGATGGCTTTTTCAAACCTTCACAAAGTGTAATTAAAGTTAGCAAAGCAACAGAACAAAAGTGATATCAATTTTAATAAAGTATTGCACAGTAGATGATATTTCAGTTGTGGAACAATACAAACATGCCCTCAGAATTTCAAAAATTAGAAAACCATTTACAAAAATGTTTGATACAATGTTTTTATCATGTTTTATACTTGTAAAGTTACTTTCCAGCTAGTATTGCTAGGTACGTGGACTGATTTTTTTAATTGAGCATATACTAAAATGTTATATATCATTAGAAAGCCCTTCAATAAAGTATTTTAATGGTGAAAAAATTATTAAAAACGAACAATTTAAAAAAAGTTATGACGTTTTTAGTAGCAAATTTTCGATATATGGATTTCTTGAAGAAACTGGTTCCAAAATTATTTTTTTTTCACTGAAATTGTTATAACTTTGTCAAATCTTATCCAAATGCCAATACCTTGGTATCAAAAGATAGATGTAAGAGTAGGCTACAAGTTCATATAGTTCTATAGATAAAAAGGGTGTCTAGAGGGCCAGAGGGGGTATCGGAACACCATCATAACCTTAAAAAAATACAAGTTTTTCACAGGAAAGAGTATTTTTCTGATAAAATTTGTTATCTTTATACACAAAAAGTTGTTTTTATTTGCTTCCGTTACATTTCTAAATATTAGTGGTATATTTTAGATTAAAGGGTGGATGTCTTTGTTACGTTTTAACACCCTCGTAGTGAAATGTTACCACCTTATAAATATTTGAACCTAAAAAACAACATTTTAACACATTATATTTTGTGTTAAAAAGTTTAAATTAAATTTTTTTACATAACAGCATATACAAGTGGTGCATAAATGGCGGGACGATGCCACCTTTAACGCCCCTCCCCCCCCCCTTTCTCTCAGTCTTCTCCAACCTAAAAAAAAATTTTTAAAAGAATTTTGAAAAATGGTTTTAAACTGAGTTTATTTAAAAAGAGAAATTAGTATTCAAGATTATTTTACCATGTTAGTGACAGGAGGGGGGTGTGCAACGCCTTACGCCCCCATCCCCCCCCCCCCCTTCTCTTCTTATTTAAACTTTAAAAAAATGTCAATAAAAATTTCAAAAATGTCTTTAAATTGTGTAAAAAGAAAGACATAACTTTACTAATCGTACCACATTACAAGATACAGGTTTGAGTATCGACCCTAAAAATTAACCAAAGTTTTAAAACTTATATTTTAAAAAGTTTTAAAATACAAAATATATAAATTTATGACTTGGCTTTTAGTAGATGACATTATTTAAAATTCCAATAATCAAACTAAATAAATCATTTTTAACAATAGACACCATGTGAAGGTAAGCCAGAGCCATCTATAGGCACCATATGTAACATCAATCTTTTTTCACTGCATCCGCAAACATAACTCCACTTTTTTTTGAACCAATAAATTATTTAAAAACATGTATATATATATGTATATGTATATATATATATATATATATATATATATATATATATACCCATATAGTGTCGCTTTAAGAGCATTTTAATGTAAAAAAAGTCTCTTACGACTACAATTTTAATTACCTCGTCTCTTAAGCTGTTTTTGATTGTCATCGAAATGTCAAAGCAATTAATTTATGCGGAAGTACATTAAATTTAATTGTTTTTTAAAAAAACCGCAATTATAACGACTAGAAAGTTTTTTTTAATTAGTGGTGTTTTTGTTATTGATTTAATAAAAACATTTTTTAAACATGCGTAAATGTTGCTACATCGACTATCTTATAGCCTGACTCGCAACAGAGTGCTGCTACATCGACTGACAAATAGCCTGACTCGCAACGGAGTGCTGCTACATCGACTGACAAATAGCCTGACTCGCAAGGGAATGCTGCTACATCGACTGACAAATAGCCTGACTCGCAAGGGAGTGCTGCTACAACGACTGACAAATAGCCTGACTCGCAAGAGAGTGCTGCTACATCGACTAAGGGTTTGGTTTGGCCAGGCAGTCTATCAATTAAAAAAAAAAAATTTAATTTTTAAAACTTTTTCTGGTCTGGTTTATTAACGCGTTCTTTAAAACTACAGTTTATGGGAAATATTTTTTGATGCTACGCAAGAGACATGCAAGAGTATATATATATATATATATATATATATATATATATATATATATATATATATATATATATATGTATATATATATATATATATATATATATATATATATATATATATATATATATATATATGTATATATATATATATATATATATATATATATATATATATATATGTATATATATATATATATATACAAAGAGTTAATATACCATAAATTTAATTACATTTTTTGAAAAGTAAACAAACAATATATAAAAATTTGTTAATTATTAATAACATTATAATACAACATGTAAAAAAAAATTTCATACATACCTTCTACAAACAAGTAATGGTTACGTAAATATAATATTTAGGAACTGTAAACATAAGTTAAACTGGTTTAAAATCAAACAATTAAACTGGTCTAAAATCAAATAATCTTTCTTAACTCAAAAAAACAGTATATAAACTAAAACAAAATAAAGAATAGTAATTAGGTATGCAAAAGATGTTTAACATTTATCAACCTAACAAAACATTACATATAAATTTGAAACTGCATTTAATATGGACTATGAGAAAACTTCAATATCTCAAAACCTAAAAAAATCCTAAACGCATTAAAAACTCTATAACTATTTATAGTTACAACTTTAATACTTTCTACACTACAACTTTTAATTACATTGAAAACATACAAAATAGATTCCTTGCAAACTATTACACTTATCAATGCTTCGTTTTTAAATCATTTTGTGAAAGATTTAAAATAAATAAATCAAATGTTAATAATTGTAAAAATTGGGACAAAATGGAAAACAAACTTGATAATATTATATATTTATTTAAAAAAAACAAACAGGAATGGTGGCGCCTAGTAATAGTGGATGCCACCATTCACGACAAGGCCGCCACCATTCCGTCTTCGCCCACAACCTCCTCCATGGCTTCCTCTTCTGCTGTAGCTCTCAGCATCCCTGTTAAGAGAATGATAGGCCCAGCTGATTGATTCACCATTTACTCCTAACCGGGCTCACCGCAAAAATGACAGATTGCTAATCGGTCCAGGGTGCTGGACCCTATATCTGTAGTTGTTGTGGAGGTTGTGGGACTAAAGGTAAAAATTTTTAAAAATAAAATTACAATTTACTTGCTATCGATAAGATATGCATACACATATTAGAAACAATACTTTTACACATGTATATTATGCATACACATATTAGAAAATAATAGTTTATAAACTTACCACTTGTAGCAGCTGAAGATGTAACTAAAGGTTAACAAAGTTGAAATAAAAATAAATATCGTGATTGCCAAGAAATTCATAAACATATTGAAAAGTGAAAGTTTGTAAACATACCAATTATTGCAGATGTAGATGGCACTAAGTTAAAAAAAAGTGTAATAAAAGAAATATATTGCAATTGATCCGAAATACATACATACATGAACAGGTTTTTTGAAGGATGCAATAAAAATATTTTTAAGCTTACAACTCAATGCAATAGAAGATGGAACTAGAGCTAAAAAGTTTTAATAAAAAATAAATTTGGAAATGTCAAGAAATGCAAAAGTTACAAATTAATAATTGCTAAACTTACCACTCATTGCAGATGAAGATGTTGCTAAAGATAAAAAAAGTAATAAAAATAAATAAATATTGCAATTGACGATATTGAAATTGGTATTAAATCTATTTACAGATTAAAAAGTACTAGCTTTTAAAATAACTAACCATAGCAACTGATACAAGGAGTGAAGATCAAAAATAATATAAATTAAACCAAGATATACATTCTTATATGTGATAATCTAGTTATCCTATACAAACTTACCAGTGGTAGGCTGGGTAGATTGAACTAAAAATAACAAAAAAAAGTGTTACAACAAAACACTATGAAAAGAAAGAAATCATAATTCTGTGGAAGATGCAACAACTGTATTAACATAATGAAAACTAACAGTAAAAATGTAAAGAAAATATATTAATAAACAATAAGCTAACATTAGGAATAGTTATTCACTTTGTTTATATATTAATTACGTTATATTGGTTGTGGTTATATATAAAATATGTGATTTATACTTACGAAATCTCAAAAAGGCTTCATAATGTGCAGCAGGATCTAAACAACAAGTAAACATTAGGCATGCTTGTATTATGATTTAAATAATAATCCACAGATAAAGAAGTATACAATCCAAAAATAATAAAAGATGATAATAAGATGATAAGTCATCGTTAACTATTTTATAACCGAAAGTGGTCCTAAATCAGCTTTTCGAACTTTAGTTTTGACTGAATCCATTAGGTTGAAAAAGTAGTCTGGATCGAACTCTTTCAACTTTAATCGAATTCTATTCTTAAGGTGGTCAAGATTTTTTGCAGTAAATCCATTTCCATAAACTTTTGCTTTTAAATGTCCCCAAAAATTTTCAATTGGCTTTAACTGCGGTACATTTGGGGGGGTTATCTTTAGCGTTGACAAAGTTAATACCTAAAGTGTTGTAAGTTTCTAATGTGTGTTTTGCATAATGACATCTCGCTCCGTCAGGCCAAAATAAAATTTTCATGTTTTGATGCTTGGAATTTATAAATGGATGAAGTCTTTTTGTAATACATTCTTTAGAATAAGTTTTTGCATCCAGTGCACAGTTTTTTATAGCAAAATAAGGCGATCAATGACCGAAACGACTGATTGCAATCCAAACGAGAACTTTCTCGTCAAACTTTTTTTTGAAGTTGAATTTAATGTTAGAATCAGTTTGAGAACTATCCTTTGTATAGTAGCCAGAGTTTTGTGAACAATTTGCGCCATTTACACAGAAATAAGATTCATCGTCCATGATGATTTCAAACTCATTTAATGGCTTGAAAAAAGTTTTTGAAAGTTTTAATAAGTTTTTCTTTTGTTTAATTTCTTGCTTTTCTGTTGTTTTTGGTGCATTTTTTCTTTTAGTATACGAAACCAAATATAAGAAATATAAGATAAGCGTTTTTTTTGGAAACGCTTATCTTATATTTTAGTGCCAATTTTCTTTGCGAAATCCCGATTCTCTCTTCTACTCTTGCAATCATGGACTCTATCTTTTCTGGTGTGATTTTAAAAGGTTTTCTGCCGCAACCGATTTTTCTTTTCATTGGCAAATTATTTTCAGACCTTTTAATTATGTCATAAATTGTAGATTTAGCGATTCCTATTTTCTTAAAATGATCCACTGTAAATTTCTTTCCACTGTTTATGTTTTGTTTATAAAAATTTCCAATCACATTTCTAACATCGTTCTTTTTTAGAGGCTCCATGTTTATTTGAATTAATTATAAATAAATTAAAAATAAATAATTATAAATAAAAATCCTGTATAAATAAAAAACCCATAACAGTATACATAAGGCATGTAAACATAAGGCATGTAAACAAAGGCAGCTTTTGCGTGAAATTAATTGTAAGTTATTGAATGATTGCAATGACACATGTAGCGCATACGATTTCTTTATCCGTGTCTTTACAAGGCAATATGAAAAGGCTTTTCCTAAAGTTCAGAAAACTATAAAATCCAAAAGTGTGCATAGCCCGTGGATGACTAAAGGTCTTTTAAGATCATCAAAAAAAAAAAAAAGCTTTACGAAAAATATTTAAAAAACAAAAACTATGAAAACGAAACTAAATATAAAAAATACAAAAACTATTTTGAAAAAATAAAAAAGCAATCAAAAAAAAACTTATATTCTGGACTACATCAGAAATCATTTGGAAACGCTAAAAAAACTTGGACTATTATAAAAGAAATAACAGGGAAAACAAAAATTACATCTAGCAACTTCCCTAATCGACTGAAAACTAATAAAGGTGAAATTTTTAATAAAAAAACCCTGACGGAGACTGAATAATTTTTTTATAAATGTTGGGAAAAATTTAGCCAAAGAAATCTCTCCAAGTAGCAAAACATTCCAGTCTTTTTTGAAAAAATCAGATTTTATTATGGACAATTCGGAACTTTCCATTGAAGAACTTCGTTCAGCTTTTGACATGCTTCAGAAAAATAAAAGTGCAGGTCTTGATGAAATTAATACAAATGTTTTGAAAAGTGTCTTTGATATTATCGAACTGCCTCTTTTCATTATTTTTAAACTTTCATTAAAAAACGGGGACTTTCCTGATCAATTAAAATTTGCTAAAATAATTCCAATTTATAAAAACGGTGACGATTCTTTAGAATCAAACTACAGACCCATCTCAATTCTTTCCTGTTTTTCAAAGGTACTTGAACGTATAATGTATAATAGAATATATAACTTCATCGATAAAAACAATATTTTATATCCTAAACAGTTTGGATTTCGGAGAAATCATTGCACTGAGCATGCTGTGATGGATTTGGCAAGCAATATTTTGAAAGGATTTGATGGTAATAATTATACACTTGGAGTTTTTGTTGATTTGTCGAAGGCGTTCGACACTGTCGACCACGAAATCCTTCTCTATAAATTAAAAAATTATGGAATTCAAAATACTAATATAAAATGGCTCGAGTCTTATTTACAAAATCGTAAACAATGTGTGACGTATGATTTAATTTATACGCAGTTAGAAGTTATTAGTTGTGGTGTCCCTCAGGGCTCAATACTTGGTCCTCTGTTGTTTCTCTTATATAATAATGACATCCACTTATCCTCTAAATTCCTTAATTTTGTTCTTTTTGCTGATGATACTAATATTTTCTTTTTTGGGGTCTAATTTAAAATTTGTTTTTTCTACTGTAAACACAGAGCTAATTAATCTCAATGAATGGTTTAAAGCCAATAAACTGTCCGTAAACATTGATAAAACTAAATACATTCTGTTCACAAAACCTTCGAAAACTGATAACATACCCCTGAAACTTCCTGATTTATTTATAAACAACATTAAAGTAAAAAGAGTTCATTCAATGAAAATCCTAGGTATAATATTTGACGATCATTTAAACTGGAAAAATCATATCCAATTTGTGGAAAACAACGTTTCAAAAGCTCTTGGGATCCTTTTCAAAACGAAGCACCTTTTGAATATAATGTGCTTAAAAAGCTTGTATTTTTCATTTATTCATAGTCACATTAGTTATTGCAATATAGCGTGGGCAAGTAATTATTCATCCTCTTTAAAAAAAATTAATACCAAACAAAAACAAGCGAGCCGGTTAATTTTAAATGCAGATAGATATGCATGCGCCGAGCCTTTACTTAAAAAAATTAATGTTTTAAATATTTATAAACTAAACATCTATCAAAATCTGTTATTTATGTTTAAAATTTATAACAACATGCTTCCAACATATTTTCAGCCTCATTTCACCTTAATTAATCACAAATACTCTACAAGATATTCCATTAGCAATTTTCTCATACCTACAACATCCCTTAGAAAAACAGACTTTTCAATAACATGTCGAGGACCACGTTTGTGGAACTATTTCCTGAATAGAGACATGAAAAACATGACTTCAATTAAACTATTTAAAAGAGCCGTTAAACTATACTTATTAGATTTAAATAATAAAAACATTCTTTTGTATTTTTAAAAAAACATTTATATATTGATTTGTTAACACGTATATATGCTTGTGGCCTATGTATATTTTGTGAACTGTGATGTGTTGTATTATGTACAAAACTTGCAATATTTATAAAACTTATACAACGTATATTTTAAGAAGTTAATACGTAAAACTTTATTGATATTTTCACGAACTTAGGAGCAGGGTGGTAAGACACATTGTCTTCTGCTTGCTCCTGTCAGAATATAAATATTTAATTTTTAATTTTTACAAAAAACATTGTAAAATGATTGTTTATTGACGAAATATATATATATAATAATAATAATAAATTATTTAAACTCAATTTTGCCACAAAATGAAACTGTTGTTGTTGACCGATTAAATTTAAAAATTTCGAATCGAAAATTTGAAATTTAGAACAATTTGTGTACATTTGAAATCAGTCCGGATTTTTTGTGAACAGACGTTAATACGATATGAGGATTTATATTTTTTTGTATAGTCGGCCCGCCTATCCACCCCCGTATTAAGCTTAACGAAAAAAACAACAAAAAAACCAAAATTATGTACCAAAAGTCCAACACTAAGTATACTATCTACTACCAATTATTTTTCGTTAATTTTTGGCAGGTGCTAAGAAAATGCATGTAAAATATAGAAAAACTAACAAAAAAAGCCGGATCAACATTCCTTTGACATCAAATTAATGTGAGAACAAGGACAAAATTTTCATGCAATATTGTATGCAAAATAATCCATAAAAATGTTGGGTAACCATACATAAAAGTCATATAAAAATCTAGATCAACCTTTCTCCTTTATGAAAATAATTAATGTTTATGCA